AAAGATATATATATATATGAAAAGATACTTTAAATGTCACTGTTAACAAGCGAGTCTTGGCGATTGAACCGAATCATTTAAACGGTTGATTCATTCAGGAACGAAACACCATCATGTTGCTCAGAGACGCAAATTGGAATTATATTTGTTGGCGAAATAGGGCAAAAACAGTCAATATTGTGTCTTAATATTAACTTCTTGTTTATTTAACTGCTGTATAAAGTCTATATGAAATGATATAAATATATACATTTCTGCCCCCATATCTTGAATCGGTAACACTTTATAGTAACAGTTGTAAGTTACTATAAATAGTGTACTATAAATAGCACTATAATACTATAGTGACATTTATAAGTGATTAGTTAATGATGAACTAATCATTTACAAAACATAACTATGCGTTCATAAATGATTAATAAGTGATATGTTAATATTTTTTTGTTTTGTAGATTAAGTTATAAATAATTTACAAGTGATTAGATAATGATGAACTAATCATTTAGAAAACATGACTATATGTTCACAAATTATTATTAAGTAGTATTGCTAATGATTTACAAATCTGTCGTAAGTTATCTTTAAAAAATAGCATATCATGTTATAATTAAACAGATCCTTAGTAGATGGTTAAGTTACTAGTTCATATATTATTAATCACTTATAAATCATTGAAATGTCAACATTGTATTATTATCTCACAGCATCAAAATACTCCATGTGTTTCAGAGAAGACATCTGTCTAACCCCCACCAGTCAGCCTTTACTTTGCAGTACACACGATAAAGTATTCAAAACCTGTTGTGTAACGCATTAATAAATCATTTACAACACTTTCTGCATCCCCTAATCTAAAGTGTAAACTACTCATCAGTTGTAAATGTTTTACTCATCATTCGTAGATCTTTCACCCCAGTGTGTACACACACAACCTGTAACCGGCAGGTTTGTAAAACATTTACAAAGACATCATTCAGTTTTTGTCTTTCTCCAGGCTTTTCATTCAGATACTGAAACTCATCCTTCAGTATCAGTTTGAACATTTCTGATACTACAAAAACACAAACACAGCACAACTACTTATGCTTTTCTATTACGTTTACATGAGCAGAGCTCAACAAACTCATTTAATTATTAATCATTTAATAATTTTTCATTTTTATATTTTATAACTATTTCATTATTATTACTATTTTCTTATTATTTAATAATAGTAATAACAAAATGGTGGTTGATAGAAGACTGTTAATACAGTTTTGGGTGCTAGAGAAGACTGGCTGTTAACAGGTTTTGGGTGTTAGACAACTCTTTCTAATCTTGTTTGAATACCAGACAAAACACATTATTTTCTGGCGTCCAGGGCAGGATCTGATTCATCTGACGTGGAGACTTGATCTGATCTAACATACAGAACATACATCTAACATACGTGATCTCTGGGTTGATCACGGATGGCTTGAACTGCTCCAATAAAAAAAAAAAAACATACAGAAGTGTTCTTCTAGTTCAATTGTGAGTGTTTTATGTTCCCTTGTTTCTAAAAAGTCCTTAATACAAACTGAGAAAGCAGATGACTACAACAATGAGTGTCCAAATATGACAAGAAATAGTGATGCAATAATTCCTCTACAGATAACAAAACCTCTAATGATATAAATCACATGTATATTATTAGTTACCTGAAGACTGACTCTGTATGCTCATCTTTAGGTTGATCATGGATAAATTGAGCTGCTCCAATTAAAAAAGACAAACTCCACATTATGAGGCTAAATGGCACTCTTAATATCTTATTTTTAAGGTTTAATCCAGGAGTAGACTTTAAACTACTGTTACTAAGACCCTGAGATCATATTGTGCTCATATTGATGAACAATAACAATACCTTGATGCTGGAAACACCAGGATTCTTCAGTACATTCAAATTCTGAACTCTGCAGGAGAAGAATAGTTTTTTTTTTCACTTAAAGTATAAAAAAGCTTACATTTGAATATTTTTCCTCAACTTAAGCATTTTCTCATTTTACAGCAGATTCTGGATTTATTTTATTAACCAATTAACTACTCATCAACTACCACGTTTTGAAAAATCATATTTTGTTATAATTGCTTTTCAGTTTTTAAATGTTTTACATATACATTGAGGTCACACCTCAATTTTGGTATTTTCTAAGGGCACTAGCAAAAAGAAACGGAAACATCACCCAACTTTCATTATCCCACGTTTATTTATTAAGATCAAGATTTATTAAGATACACTAAGATCGCATCAATATTTCTTTGCTGAGCTGCATATGATCTATCTGTCACACATTGACTCTATTTCACAATTTACCTGTATATTTCAAGCACATCATAAAAGCTTCATAAAACTTGATGAACATGAATAGCAAAATAAGGAAGCATGCCTAGTTTGGTAAAACAGGGCCTTCTTCAGCATATTTACACATATAACTAAAATATAAGAGGACTCTCCCACCTTCTGCCTTCACTGGTGTGTGTTTGTGGTCTCAATGCGGGATCACTGGTCACTTCATCTGCTCCTAGAAGATTCTTCTGTTTCAAATGACCATAATAATGACAAAAACACAGTTGTTTAGAAATAATGTGATCATGGGAAATTAAATATAAAGTTTAAATAGTATGATTTCCATTTTAATTTAATGCATGTGAATGTTTGTTTTGAACTTTCTATTTAGGACTGGTTTCATTATTGGACACTTCTACGGTAAGAAATAGTTCAACATTGTTATTTAAAGGTGTTCTTAGGATATGCACTAAAATTATTTTTATAAATGCATCCCCTATATTTTCAAAAGTACGACAATTGCATGTGTTTCATACCCCTTTTGCTCTTCATTCTCACCTATGCCAGAGTCACTGACTGAAGTGTTGCTTTGAGAATACAGTGCTCTGGTGTTAGTGATCCAGTCATTTATATATGGCCTGTTTTGGTCATCAGGTAATCTGTTCCAAGAGCCTTGAAATGCCTGTTTTGTGAGTTTTGCAGTTGGTTTTAAAACTAAAGATAGACAGAAGACAGTTTGACCTTTTTTTTTAACAGTTATCACACTTTTCTACTTAATGTCATTGTTTTTTATATTTGATCTGCAAATACATGGACTTCATTTACTTACCCTCAAGTCATTAAAACCTGTATGATTTACTTTTTTCTTTGAAACACAAAGATGAAAAAAAATGCCTCAGTGTTGTTTTTGGCAATGCAATGAATTTCAGTGGGGTCTAATGTTATTGGTTTCCAGTGCTCTTCAAAATATTTTCCATGTTCCACAGAAGTAAGTAATACAGGTTTGGAACAGTGAGTGAAAGACAGAATGATTATTTTTGTTTTGGTTTAAGCTCTGTTGACATAAGACTTGTCACACCGAATTTGTCTGTGTAAAGTTACATCTAATCTGTCAACTAATATCATGCAAAGCCAGTTAACATGTCAAAGCACCAGTTTATCTGCATATGTGTGCAAAGACATTGGAAAGGGACATGACATAACTATTCACAATGTTTACAATAAATCAGCTAAGCCACTGAAATTATGTCTGTAACAAGTTTATTCATCTTCAACTGTAGTCTCACGCTCAAAATGACATTTTTTAGAAAAAAGAGGCACATACACTGGGAAGATTCAGAAACTGCTGGAGACGAACGACCCTCAGTGCTGCTAAATGTAGTCGAGTGACCGTCTCCTTCAAAGTCAATGCCTGCAACACACAAATATATTAGTTTTTGTTCATAGTCTCACTTTTGTCACGAGTATGTTCTGTTTTTTTTTCTTTTTCTCCCTGTTCCCATTTGCTTGCCTGAGTTCCCTAGTTAGTCTCATTGGTTGTTAATTAATCGTTCTCGTAAATGCTACAGTATGTGGTTGTGTTTCTCTCCGTTGGTCTCCTGTTTATTGTGTGGATTTATTGTCATTAAAGACTATTTTTGGTAATCTCCTTCATCATGCACTTCACTACAGCCACTACACTTTCCAATGTTTAAGTCTTCCAAGCTTAAATGAACCATGTCTGCCACAAAGTTCCATAATTTAACAATGTTTAGCTACAACTTATAGGTAGTAAAAATATGACTCACCAATACTCATACTGCTCCTTACCTAAAAGAACCATTTAATACAAATTAAAAACATTGCAAATAACCAAGATAAGGTACACATTCTCAGATGATTTTTGCTGAAAGATCATACCTCTGAAACGATTTCAGTGACGTCACTGTATACAGTATAGTTGAGTTTCCCCAGCGCTGCACATTTGATCTCATACTCAGTCTCTGCTCTCAGATCAGTCAGAGTAACTGTGTTTTGATCCTTCATCACAGGTTCAGATGTCCAGACTGAGTCCTGCTTCGGTTTATACAGTAATCTCAGCTCCACTGTAGCAGAACACACTGGAGGAACCTTCAGAACCACAGTGTTTTCTGTGACCACTTCAGTGACTGAACAAACTGGTTTGGATGGAGGAATAAAGCAAACAGCTTCATCACATCCATGTTCATACAGCAGAATACAGGAGCCAGGATTATTCTTCATCTCTCCTGAGGACACAATGAACATGTCTGATTTATGATCTTCTGAATCCATCAACTTTTTAAATATCTCTAAGTTGCTCTTCATGTTCTTTTTGGCATCAGGACTGAGCCAAGACTTTTGTTCTGAATCAGGGTTGTTCTCATCAGTTTCTCCTTTTGCTGAAGGATTCAGATAGACCTTTTGTTGAAGCAGCATCACATCTGTCCAGTCCAATGATGTGAATGTGTAACAGACCAGATTTCCATCTTCCTGATTCATCCAGATGGCATCTAGATTGACTTCTACTATTGCACCATAATTCTTTAGCCGTCTGAGGACTGATTTAATGATCTCAGACTCTCTTTCTCTCTCTTTCAGCCATTCTGCAAGGTCTCGTCCACTGAATGGCGATACAGCAGAGAGCAGAGTTTCTTCATGAGTCTCAACTTGTACTTGTAACAGTTTTGCTTCCTTTCCAGGATTTTATCATGAAATGCAGCAAGAGTCAGAGCAGGAGAGTCTTTCAGAAGATCAACGCATTTCATCTCAGCTGTATTTAAACTCTCAATCACTGATTCAGTTTCTAACATTAGATCCATACTGATGTCTTTCTGAAGTTTTGAAGCTCTTGAGTAAAGTTTGTCTAGAGGATAAAGCCAAACTCTCAGAGGAACTGCAAGCTCTTTGTTTTCTCCCAGCAGTTTTGGAAGATCAGTCAAAACCTTCAGTGCATCTTCAAAAGAGGTCGGGTTTGACGGTAACTGGAAATCACCATAAAACATGCATGTGAATTTCTGGACTGCATTCTTCTGCTCGTCATTCATCTTCAGATTGATGTTTATATCTCCTGAAATTAATTTGAGTTTCTCAAGAGCCACTTTTGCTTCTCCTTCTACTGTACTTTTGTTCTCATCTGCTGACACTTCTCTGTCAAACACAAAGCAGGCGTCTGCTCCATACAGCACTGCTGTCACCACGTGTGTCGCTGCGTCATTATCAAACACGTCCTGATGAACTATATTTTCAGAAGCCAAGTGGTTCATGGTCAGTTCTTCGAACCTGCTGGTTGAGTGATAATGCAGCGTCAGTATCTGCTGTCTGAAAGACTTCTTGGTGTCGTTGAGATATTTAGCTGCTCCTGTCACATTAATCAGTCCACCTAAAAGACTGAGTTTCAGAGAGCCGTGGATGTTCAGTAAGCTGGATTTGTCCTCAATGGAGTCTGAAGCTGTGCCTTCGAAATCAGTGTTAATTTGGGGACGGGTTCGTATGCTCTGCTGGAGCTTCTCTGGATCCCACAGTGTGATTCCTGTGATTGGAAATGAGAAGGGTTTCATACAGTAGAGTAATTATTCATTACTGTAAACACAACACTGATGAACGGGACGGCACTGTGATTTTCATATGATCCCTCTGTAAGGCAAGGCAATGTAAATTTATTTATATAGCACATTTCATACACAATGGTATTTCAAAGTGCTTTACATAAAAGAAAAGAAAATAATAAGTACTAAAAGTACTTCAAAATCAATCCTAAATATAACTGGAAGCCAGCGTAAGGACCTGAGGACTGGTGTAATATGCTCAGATTTTCTGGTTCTAGTCAGAATTCTGGCAGCAGCGTTCTGGATGAGCTGCAGCTGTCTAATGGTCTTCTTGTGAAGGCCGGTGAGGAGACCATTACAATAGTCCACCCTGCTGGTGATAAAGGCATGAACAAGTTTCTCCAAGTCTTGACTGGAAACAAAACATCATATTCTTGCAATGTTTTTGAGATGATAGTATGCTGATTTAGTTACTGCTTTGATGTTGTACGACACTTTATAGAAGTTATTAACAAAACCTGCAAAGACATTTCCCCACATGATGAATTGAACAGCATGTTAATTTATGCAAGAAAAAGGAACCACACAGGACGTGGCTAAGCCCTGCAACAGCGTCCGATTGGGACAATCGCGTCTGGGATGGACCAAATCAGCTCGCTTAAAAACCCAATGCCTGAACAGATGCTCGCTCGCTCTCTTGATCTTTGGCTCTTTCACCTTGTTGACCGCGCTACAAAGTGCTCACACGCTGTAACATCACGCGAGCGAGACTCCAGAACTCAAACCTTCCGTTGAAACTTTGTCAACGCCGAAGTCTTCAAAGTCTAAAGCCAAGCAAAGAAACTCTCAGAAGAACTTCAAGCATCACTCTCCGTACCTAAGGCAACCGACTTCCGAAGCTCCTAAGTCACAAGGAAACCAACCATTTACCACGAGGGCTCTCCCAAAAAGACGTCATCCAAACGACAGATCGGCAACCAATCAGAGGCTTCGGGATTCCCTCAGGCAGAAAAGAAAACCCCTCTTAGCTTTCCAGCTCAAACGCAAGTAACAAACAAAATCTTCTATCCGTTGAAACTGGTGCTGAATCGATCTTAAGCAACTAAAGATAAACCAAATCTCTGCTTTTGTGATTTTCTTGGTGCGATTGTTTGTGTGCTTTTGATAGTTTTAGTTCCATGTAATCTATAGGGTAGTTCAAATAAACTCATGTTTCATTATAAGAATCATTGTCTTGTGTCATGTATTTTAAAGTTAAAACTTTGCCCAGATCGTGCTACCTAGCTCGTAGCTTAATAATCATCACTAACAGTTATTATGACCGTGGCCAGGGCATAATATAAATATCCAAATTGTTAAGATATACTGATGTTAACGTCTCGCTGGACGAACAGTTGATAAAGTGTAAAATATCAAATTTGGAATCAGTTCTAATCAGGTTGACTTTGAATCTT